CAGTCAAGTTCGATTCACTCATATCCGTTACCGTATCCGTATCCATATCCACTACAGCATTCTGTTGATGGTCAGTTGGAATTGTTGCGGGTGTCATAGTGGTTGAATCCAAATTTAGTCCATCCAACATTTTCATGATCGGAACGAGCTTTGTTTTGATGTCAACAAGTTGTTTTTTTAGTTCAATGCAATTTGCACAAGTCATGATGATAGGTTATGTCAGCTACATACAACGAGATAAAATTTGGTAAAGACAAAATCAGCAAAATAAACTGATTTGAACAAAAAAGTCGATATACTATTGGTAAAACAGTTCTTAACGAACAAAATAATATAAAACTCAATAATTTTAGACGATCAAATATAGTTGAAAATTAAATAAAACTATGATATTTTAGAGCAGAGAGAGCAAATGTACGTCTTTTGACACTCTCGAAAATCTCGAACTCGATGCGGCAGAAAAAATCAGCAAAAGCCTTTAATGTTTCAAACGCTTCGGATGGATGGCGCTGTCAGAAGCTCTCTGAAGTACATTAGAAGTGGTGAATGTGATTATGACAGATCATATTTGTGTTTACGTTTAGAAACGTTGACTGTCAAAGTAGAGAATGTTCTGTTAATATAAACCAAAATGCCAACATGGCGGGCCAAAATGCTGTCATGGCGGATATCTTTCTCATTAAACTACACATGAAAATATCTCGAAAACGGCTGGGAAAATCGGCAAAATGGACCGTGGTGTCACTCCCTGAAGGGAGTGTAGACACCCGGCTGGTTTGATGGCCCAAAGTTCAAATCCGGTGGATTTGAGCTCATCCATGGGTTCTCGGGATTTGGCCTGATCCCAGCACTTGCCCTGTGGTGAAATTCCATACAAAACATGAGTGTGACTTGTAAAGATGCTCACAGGAAAGGAAAAGCTGGGAATCAGACCAAATCCTGAGAGCCCATGGATCAGCCCGAATCCACTGGATTTGAGCTTTGGGCCATCAAACCAGCCGGGTGTCTACACTCCCTCTAGGGAGTGACACCACGGTCCATTTTGCCGATTTTCCCAGCCGTTTTCGAGATATTTCGATGTGTAAATATTTATTGGTTTTAATTTACCACTTAAGAGGTGAGTTTGGATAAATTAGCAGAAAAGCGTATTAAAGTTCGAAATATTCCATCATTCTAAGATATTTTCACTAGAGGCGCTCTTACAAAAATCCATCCATTTAGCCTCCATAAGAAGCAATGTATTGCTATCGGATTACGTAACAAATTTGTGCCAATTAAGCCACCTTTAATTCATAAAGAAAATAAGAATTATCATAATGTTCCTACTCCAGTCTGTGATACTTATTTAATTGATTTTAACACAAGTACAAATACTGTAAAACAGAGAGTAGCTGACTATTTTAAGAGAAACAGAATTTGGAGAGAGTAAAGTCAAATAGAATGAATTATCCCATTGTAAATATTGTAAATATAACAAGGTTTATTTATGCTAAATAAACCACCTCGGGCGAAGAAGCGCTGTATGGTGCAGAATAATAATAATAATAAAAAAAACAAAAACAAAAAAAAAACATTGAAAAATGCAACCAATTCGGATGATGCAGCATCGGATACAGAAGATTCATTCATCAAATCAGTTGATGAAAAGGCAGCAACAAGTACACCAACACAGAGAGTTCTTATTATTATTATTATTATTCTGCACCATACAGCGTTTCTTCGCCAGAGGTGGTTTATTTGGTATAAATATTTGGTTATATATTTACAATATTTATAATGAATTCGCATTTTCAGTCTCTCCAAGTTCTATTTCTTCTAAAATAATCAGTTATTCTTTGCTTGACAGTGTTTGTGCTAACATTAAAATCAATTAAATAAGTTTTATATATTTTTGGAATAGTACTAGTATCACAATCATTCGTTTGATTTGGCTCTATGATATTAAAGTATTTATAAAATTCATTATATGTGATGAGCATGTAGTTAATTGGCTCAAACATTGAGTAGTTGTAGATTCTGGTCGGCAGCTCTAGGAATTCGGTGTTCCGTGTTCGGAGTCGTGGTGTTCTTAAGTTAATTTTCTCCATAATATGCTTCGACGATGTTTGGCCACAGATAACATTGTGTATGAAGCAAATTTGTGCGATTTTTCTTCGTTCTTCTAAGGTAATCATTTGTAGAAATAGCAGACGATTGTTGTATTGTGGCAAAATGAATCTGTGTGGCCATTTCATCTTTCTCAGTGCAAACAGTAGAAATCGCTTTTGGACTGATTCGATTCTAGCGATTTTCTCATTGGTGTGTAGGTTCCATATTTGCGATCCATATTCAATGATTGGCAACACGAACGTGAAGAAGAGTCTTTTTATGGTCCATGGGTCATCGAACTCTCTTCCAAAACGTTTTATCCACGCAAGTCTAGATTTGGCTCTAGCAGTTATGTACTCAATATGAGCATCGAAGTTCATTTTTTCATCCAAAACGACTCCAAGGTCCTTTATTATTTTTACCCTGTCAATTGATTTGCCTTCAATAGTGTACTTGAAGTCAAATTTCAGCTCGCCACGGTGATATGATACGTAATTCGTTTTTTTTGACATTCAAGTTCATGCGGTTACGTTTGAAGTACTTGACGACTCTATTCAGGTCAGCTTGAAGTGCTAGGCAATCATCGACTTGCTTTATTTGCATTGAAAAGCGAGTGTCATCGGCAAACGATTGTAAGTTGGAGTTGACTATGCAATGGGGAAGATCAATGATGAACAGAACAAACAGTGTCGCTCCAATCGGGTATCCCTGACCTGTTCCCGATGTTACTTCAATGGGAGTAGACATGGCTCCATTCAATCTTACTATTTGTTGACGTTCACTTAGATATGACTTTATCCATTCCAGTATTTGCTCATTCAATCCCATAATTTTCAGCTTGTGTATGAGCAGTTTCACGTCAACCGAGTCAAACGCTTTAGCAAGGTCGAGATATATTGCATCAGTCTGGATTCCATGTTGCATGCCGATCAGTGTATGTGATGTAAATTCGGCCAGGTTCGTTATTGTTGACTTTCCTTTGACAAAACCATGCTGGCTGCTATCGATGATGTTCCTCATGTGATAATTCAAATGATTTGCAATTATCGAATCCAACAATTTAGGTATTATGCATTGCAGTGCTACTCCACGATAGTTCTCAATTTTGTACTAAGCTCCACTTTTGTGCACTGGTCTTACATAAGAGCGTTTCCATGTGTTCGGTACACAACCAGAATTTAACGATTCACGCAATATGTGTGTTATTGGCTTCAGCAATGTGTGAATGCAGTTTTTGATGAACATATTCGGTATTCCGTCGGGACCAGACACCAAGTTGTTTGGTAAATCGTGGATTTTTTCCATAACCAATTCCTCAGTGACATTGATACGTGGGAAATTTGTACATCGGTCAATCAATATCGGATCATTTTCATCATAGCTTGCTTCGGATCCATCAATCGGTTGTGTATATGCTTTTCCAAAGTGTGTTGCGAATGAATTGGCAATTTCGTATGGGTCGGAGAATTTTTTGCCATCATATTCCATTTCATTTGGAAGATCGTTATTGGTATTATTGCATGTTCTGACATATTCGAAGAATTTCTGTGGATCATCATTTATCAATTGTTCCATCTCGAGTTTGTAGTTCCTAAAAGCAGAACGAGATTTCTTTTTATACTCACGACGTAGTTCAGCGTGATCTTTTTTTGTTTCATCAGTCGTGTCAAACTTCTTCATTTTATGCAATGTGTTGACTCTGTTCTCCAAATTGATCAGTTCACTATCGAACCACTTCGGATGAATTCGGTGTTTTTTCGTTCTCGTTTCAACATTCGTATCAATTGCAGTGTTGACTATTGCGTAGAACTGATCAATTGCATCGTTTAAATCCATTCCGTTGAAAACATTGTTCCAGTTGGCATTATCAAAAAATTCATTGATCGATGTGTAATCAGAATTTTTGAAGTCTTTGTACGTAATCACATCATCTGATTTGCTGTCAATTTTATCATGGATGATGACCTCGAGTGCTTGATGATGTGTTTCATTTTTTACTATTTTACTTTTGCTCATATTGCATGTGAACATGTTGGGCTCATTCGTCCATAGCAAATCCAACATTCGTTTGTTTTCATTGTGGTGAGTACATATTTGAAACAAACCCAGATCGTGACACGTATCAATGAAAATTTTCTCTTTTTCGCTCACCACATTTACAGCAACAGCCACTTCTGGATTTGGCTCAAAATTAATATCAGGATCATGGGCATCATTTGTGTTGCATGTATACCAAATCAGATTGGGCAGATTGAAATCACCTGATACAAGCAATACATCATTTTGATTTGCTTTTGATGCTACTTCACGCAATGCATTCATATGAGCTTTATAAACTTCCAACGGTGAATCTGGTCTTATGTAAACTTGTGCCAGTATCAAGTTTCTGCCGTTGCATTTTACGCCCCAGCCTTTTCTCTTGATACGCTGAAACTATTCAGTGGCAGGTGATCTATCGCATCTGAATACTTCAAAGTTCGGCGGAAATATCTCTGATGAAGAAACATCTGCGTTGAGGTGCGTTTCGCTTAACATGTAAATTTTAAAAATCGCTGCTAAAACTTCAGATAAAAAATCAACTGATTTGTCTATACTTTTCACGCCGTTCAAATTATTACAGTATATCAAAACGTCATCAAACATTGTATGACTTACATTCCATTGTGATTTTGAACGTTGAACGGTTGGAAGTTTTGATGAACGTTGAACGGTTGGTGCGTGTGTATAGTGCGGATGGAATAGTGGCATAGTTGGCTGAGAATGAACCTGATGCTGAGGTGGAGGGTAGAAATATGGCGTTTGGTACCAAAAAGGAGGCGGCATATTGGTCTGTGGCAATTGTCCATTGTGCATGTGATCTACACGATGGCGAGGTTCATAATTATATCGACCGTTGTGGTTATTACGATTTCGATTATGGTAGCCAAATTCATTCGAACGATCCTCACGTCGGCGTCTGTGTTGGTTATTCATGTCCCGACGCTGATTGTTGTTGTTGTTATTGTTCCGGTTGTGTCTGGTGTGATGTTTGTTACTGTTGTTGTTGAATCTATTGGAATGTCGTGAGTTTGAATTTGACTTGGCTGTTGTACGACGGTAGTCATTGTGTTTTCGCCCATGAACATTACTTCGATTACGTGTTTTTTCAAAAGCTCTAACACGATATTCACTTGACCAGATATCGGAGTTGCATAGCAATTCACATACCTCCCGTGTGAATACGGTTATTTTGAAAGCATTGTAGGTTTTGCGGTATTTTCTTTTGCTGGGCAGTGCAAAAACCTTGAATATATCCGGGTTTAGGTTGGCTTTTTCCATTAAGTAGCTGACAATTTCATCTGAAGATGAATCTGTATCAGCTTTGAAAACGTACAAAGTGTATAGTCCATTTGCATCTTCCGTCGGTATTACAATTCGTTTGGTATGCACATTTGGTTTGTTGGATACGCTAATGTTAGCCGGCAACATACCAGGTTGGTTCATTTGAGATGTTTGATTTGAGTTTTCATGACTTCCACTCGGTTTATGTACATTGGATCGGTCGGAGCCATTATCATTTTGCGTGTGACTTCCGAATTTCGCTGTGCAAACTTCACACGTAAGTCCAAATGGTGTGTTTTCATCAAAGAATTGTTGGAATTCATTCACTTTGTTTACACTCGGTACACCTTTGAAAACGAAATATGGATTGCCATCACTGTCCTTCGCTTCACTCATCAAATCGAACATGAATAGGAGTTTTTTCGCTCGCAGCTCATCACGGTCACGTAGACATTTTGCATTCATTTTTTGTTTACAGAAACGGCAATTTAAAAAAATATCATGATAACCTTTGCAATCATTTGTTGCACAAGAGTGTGGTTCAGTATGTGTTGACATTTTGTGGTTATGTGAATGGTAAACAAAGTAAAAATGTACTGATAAAAACAAAAATTAAAATAAAATTAATAAAACTTCATATGGCTCGTGTGTGCGTTGACGAGAGGTTTCTGAATATATAAATTTTATCGAAAATCAATTACTGTTTCACTTTTAAATTAATAAAAAACAGAGATTTACAGAGCAGAGAAAGCAAATGTACGTCTTTTGACAACTCTCGAAAATCTCGTACTCAGTTCTGCGTACAAATCGAAAGCAAACAGAATTCTACGGAGCATTTGCATATTCGGCTGTTTCAATTGAGCCGACGACATATCAAGAAAGGCAAAGAACTCAAGTGAATCAACGCATTGGATGAAAGCGGTTCAGGAGGAGCTCAATTCGTTAAAAGAAAACGACACATGGGATATCATCGAAAAGCCAAGCAAATGTCATGTCATTGGCAACAAATGGGTGTTTAAGTTGAAAACCCCACCAAACGAGGAGCCAGAGTATAAAGCACGCCTAGTTGCAAAGGACTATTCACAATCGGCTGGCATTGATTACAAAGAGACATTTTCTCCGGTTGTTCGATATGAAACCGTTCGCTGTATTCTTGCTGTTGCGGCGATTGATGATATGGAAATGGTACAGTTTGATGTCAAAACCGCGTTCCTCAACGGCGATCTGGAAGAGATCATTTACATGGAAATACCAGAGGGTATTGAGCATGAGGCAAACAAAGTATGCCATTTGAAGCGAAGTTTGTATGGGCTGAAGCAAGCTTCAAGAGCTTGGAATTCAAAGTTTGTACATTTCCTGAAAAGTTGTGATTTGGAACAATCGAAAGCGGATTCATGTTTGTTCTACGGCTACATTGAAGGTGAATGGGTAATCGTTTTACTGTACGTTGATGATGGATTGATTCTTTCACACAGCAAAGAGGCGATTAAATCGTTGGTAGCGAAACTGAGCAACGAATTCAAAATCACATTGGGAAATAGCGAATATTACGTTGGCATGGAAATTAAGCGTGACAGAGCAGCCAAAACAATAAAAATCACGCAAGAATCGTACATCGAAAAGTTTCGGATGCGCGAGTCAAATGCCATTTCTACACCATTCGATGTTGGTACCAATTTAACCAAATCCGAAGAAGAATGCGATTTGAATTATCCATATCAGCAAGCATGTGGTTCGTTAACGTATGCATCAATCATTGCGCGACCAGACATTTCCTATGCAGTGGGAGAAGTCAGCAAGTTTTTGGAAAATCCGAATCGTTCGCACATCAATGCTGTTAAGCGGATCATGCGTTAGCTGAATCACACAAAGTCATTGGGGATTACATATGGTGAACCGGATGAAATGGATTTAATCGGTTACACGGATGCCGATTACGCAAGAGATTTGGACACAAGACGATCAAAAACTGGATATGTGTTCAAGTTTGGAAATGGTTTGATTACGTGGAGAAGTCAAAGGCAAGAAACAGTTGCACAATCCACGACGGAAGCTGAATTCATGGCAATCACCGAGGGCGCAAAAGAAGCTATTTGGTTGCGTCAATTATTGAAGGACATCGGTTTTGAACAAGCATCAGCTACGAAATTGCGTGTGGACAATTTGAGCGCAATGATGAGTTGATTCCGGAATCAGTTGACAAAAAAATTAGTGACAAACTGAATGCAAACATTACACATTTGAGCGCCTCACAAAACACGAGCAAAATCCAACAAAAAAACATCAGAAAACCAAGAATTTCTCCTGTCAACGGAGTATACGCCATTCACATATCACGAATGCCAATAGAAACCACTCCCGAAGATATTGCCGCTCTTATCATTGGTAATTTGGATGCAAATAATGATTCTTTTATTGTAGAAAAATTGCCAAACAAACGATACAAAGGGAAGGCAAGGTGTTTTTCATCATTCAAAGTTTCAACCTTGTTTCGTAAGATTTGTGAAGGGATCATTACAATGGATGGATGGAGCTCTGATTGCATTTTGAAACAATTCAATTATCCATCGAAAATGCAAAGTAAGACAAGCACAGTTGAAACCGATGCCGTGAAAAAGATGGGACATCGTCCAAAACTGCAACAAAATGTACAGCAACGAGTCAATTTTAATCGGAATCATCGCAACAACAACAACTATAACAACAGACAAATCAA